AAAAATGAAAGTGATCCAGAAATCTCCATGTGAATGAACGCTCAAGGACAAAAGTGAACAGCATAGTTGACCCAGAGAAAGTCTGGCCTTAGATGTCAGGTTGGTAGTGAGGCATCTCTGCTCTTCATCTGTGTTCCTGGAGATCACCATGAGGCTCAGAAGTGGCTCCTGGTGACTACAGCCTGAGCAATGCTTCTGTGGATGGCTGACTTCCAGGAGGAGTGGTGAGGTCAGGAGCTCTGTGAATTCCGGTGATAGTGTGGGGTCACTGGAGCATCGTGAAATTTCTACTGGGCCACCAAGTGACTCCCCTCCGGTTCCAGTTCTAGAGTTCCCACATTCTATTGAGGAAGCCAGACGCCTTCTCCTACATTGACCAAAGAACAAAGGGAGGCCAAGGGACAGAGAGGGTTGGCCTAGGGAGTCCACAGCCTCCAGGGTGCCATGGACCTTGCCTGCAAGGGAACTCGGGTCCTGGGTGAGGTCGGGGACAGTCATTCTCCCTCAGGAAGTGGGCATTCTCTTTCCAGTTGATTTTTTCCCCTTCTGTGATCTGAGAGTCTGATAGATTTGTCAAAATTGCTTCTCCTCTCTCCACGTTGAAATGCTTGTTCCCTCTTTCTTGCATATGTTAGGTGCTCAGTAAATGGTGCTCAGAGAATAGACAGGCCCCACCAGTCCTTCTCTCCAACCTCAAGCCACCCGTCAGGAGTTCTGTGTTCCATGTGAGAACACAGTGGGCTTAGGACGTGTCCATCATGAGACTTTCCCTTGGGACACATCCTTGGCCCAAGACAGCAGAGTGCCAAATGAATGACCCGTATAGGAACTACCGGGCATGCTCCCAGGGAGAGAAAGAGAACATTGAGCTGGCGTGGTTGCAGAGGGGCCCTGTGGGGAGAATGTGAGCTGGCTTTTGCATTGTGAGTTCTAATGGTTTCATTTGAAAAAGAAAGTAGTTTCTCTGTACTCTGACCTCTTTTTGACTCAGTCACATCTCAACTTCCAGACATGGGTGGGCCCAGGCTGACCCCGGACGCCCCTCTGCTCCATTGGTACTCTTCTTTCTGATGATCTCTGATAAACACCACCCACTGTGGACACCCCCAACTCTGTGTCCTCAGCCTGTATCACCCCTCTGAACCCCAAGATCCTCTGTCCAACTCCCTGGTCCACATCTTCACTAGGACTTGAACTCTACCTTTCAACTTCTGTCAGAACAGGTCTGATCTGCTCTCTTATCCTTCCAGCTATTCAGCCCTGGTACCTAAGTACTCGACTCTGTTTTTCTCACATTTGACATCTGATTCGTCAGTGTGACGTGTGGGTGCCACCTCTCCTAACACTTCCACTGTGATCACCGGCAACAGAGCTGTCCCCAACTTGCACCTGGATTTCTGTTGAAGCCTGTGAGGAGCAGCCCCACCCCCACTCCTGGCAATGGCCCATCTTCCCACTCCTGAGGGCCCTGGGCTCCTGCTGTCTTCCCTCTCACGGATTCTCTCCCAGCTGCACTGATGCCCTTGCTGGTCTCCAGCATGCCACGCACCTCCTACCACCTCTGCTCCTTCCTCAGGACTCTTTCCCCTGGTACCACAGGACTCACCCCTTGTGCCTTGGCTCAGAGGTTACTTCCTCCATGAAGCCTACCATGATTATTCTTTTTAAAATGAAAATCCAGCATTCTCCCTCCATCCCCTTGCACCAGTGGTATGCTGGTCCAACACCCGGTTCCCTGAGTAATGGCCACTGCTGACTTCCACGGTGTAGACATCCCCAACTAGCCCCTGGCCAGCCATCAAGGTGAGCTCACTGGATGCAGAGTTAGAAGAGACGGTGCCCTGGGTGCCAGCCCACACCACCAGACCCCTCTGCTTCCCTGGAACACAACTTCACCTTCTGACAGCCTCACTATTGTACCTAGGTATTGCATTCACTGTTTATTGTCTGACTTCCCCCATTAGAATTTAAATTTCATGGACCCTGGCTCTGATTGTTTAGTCTTTCGGTCCCTGGTATGTCCCAAGCAAACCAGGGCAGAGGGTCAGATATGGCCTGTGGCCTGTTTCTTACTATCAAGGTTTGGTTGAGTGAAGCCAACTGACTGGTTCACTTACTGTCATGGCGGCTTTGCATCACAACGGCAGAGTCAGGTAACTGTGACAGAGCCCATGTGGCCAGCTATACGCTAGTGAGTCCGCAGCCTCATTGACTGTCTGGCCCTCCATAGAAAAAGTGAGAGGAGTTCCTGGTTCAGAAGGAAATGAAAAGCGAAGGAGTGAAAATCACACAGAAAAAAAAAATCAACGTGGAGATTGTTTCCTTGAACTGTGCTTTTTCTTGGTCCGTTCAGGTTATTATAACAAAAATACAATAAATTGCTTGACTTACAAAAGCAGAAATTTATTTCTTCTAGTTCCAGAAGCTGGGAAATCCAAGACCAACACGCTGATCAATATGGTGTCCGATGAGGACCCTTCCCAGCTCACAAATGGACATTCCTCCCCCTTCCCCTACCCCCCTTCCCGCCCAGGGAGCTCTGGGGCCTTTTCCATCAAGGCACTAATCCCATCCCGAGGACCCCACCCTCATGACATAATCGCCCCCTAAAGGTCTTCCCTCCTGATATCATCCCCTTGGAGTTAAGATATTAGCATATAGGTTGGGGGATAGCAGAGTCCCATCTATAGCAATGCTGTAGCCAATATCCTACCTTTTCTGATTAAAGAACAGGACTGATCAGCATGTCTGATGGGAAGGTGAGCCCAAGCCATGACACTGGCTTTCTTCTCCTGAGGATGCTCTGGGTTCAACAGAGACAGAGCTGGGACCTTCTCCAGGACCTTTGAGAAGAAGGTCAGATGTGAAGCTGCCGTCTCCCCAGGGTTGGCTGGAGCCCGGGCTGCCTCTTCCTTCCACCAAATGTGACAAAGTGAGACCCGACATGCAGCGTGTCACCGTGTCTCCTCACAAAGCTCTGGCAAGTTAGTTTTCTCTCCATTTTATAGAGAGCATATGGAGGTTGGCAGGAGTGTAAGGGTCATTCCCCTAGTCACACGGCTGTCCCGAGGCAGGTGTGGGACCTGGGCCAACATCTGTTGGACTCTGACACCCTCCTCTGTGTCATTTCTGCCAACTTGTGAAATACTGGACTCCAGAAGGCGACATGCGCCCAAGGGCACGCCTTCCTGGTTTGGAAGAAGAGATTGCCTATCTCAGGGAGACTGATTTCTTCATCGTTGTCACAAATTACATTTTTGAAAAATATCATTCGGAATTTTCATTCATTTCAACCCACATAATGGTGCTGTGACGTGCTCAGGAGACAGAAAGAAGAGGATCTGTGAAGGGCGATGTCACCACGCATCCTGGCCCAATAAATCAGAGCCTGCCGCACGCTCACCACTGCACCTGGGTCTTAGGTCTGCAAATCTCTGCAGAGGAGGTGACACTCGAGTTGACAGATAAGGAAATGGAGTGGGAGAGGGAAACGGGTGTCTGTCTGCAAGGGGAGCAAGCTGGCAGGGACCAGGATTGAAACAAACCCCAGCCTTGGTGCCACATCTCTCCACCCTGTTGTTCCCCTCGATATTGGTGTGAATTCAACTTAAGGTTAGATCATAGGTCAAATTAATTTGAGTCTGGAACGATAGTCGACACTCAAATAAATTTTTTAATCAATTTTTTATTTGTTCTTTCTTAGATATGCATGACATTAGAGGGTATTTTGATATGTTATACATATGTGAAGTGGGACTTATTCTAGTTAGGATCCCATTCTTGTGGTTATACATATCGTGGAGTTACATGGGCCGTGTATTCATATATGAACATAGGAAAGTTACGTCCGGTTCATTCTACTGTCTTTCCTATTCCCATTCCCCTCCCTTCCCTTTATTCCCCTTTGTCTAATCCAATGAACTTCTATTCTTCCCCTTCCTGCCCCCCCTGCCCTTTGTTGTGTAATCTTCATATCACAGGGAACCTTCTGCCTGTGGTTTTAGGGGACTGCCTTATTTCACTTAGCATGATATTCTCCAGTTCCACCCATTTACCAGCAAATGCCATAATTTCATTATTTTTTATGACTGATACTCAATGAATTTTAACAACATAGATTTAAAAGTGGTAGGGGACCCTGGAAGTCCCCTGGGCCAGTGGTTCTCAGCCATGTGCAATTAAAATCACCTAAGGAGCTGGGGACAGGTCAGTGCCCAACCCCTGGCGGAGCTGATTGCTTGCTTGCTTTCTGTTTTTCTTTCTTCCTTTTCTCTCTTTCTTTGATCTTTCTTTTTCATAGCACTGGGGATTGAGCCCAGGACTGCCCCACCACTAAGCTACACCCCCAGCCCTTTTCTTTAATGTTTTGTTTCGAGACAGGGTTTTGCTAAGTGGCCCCAACTGGCCTTGAACTTGTGATCCACTGGCCTCAGTCTCCCAAGTAGCTGGGATTACAGCATGTGCCACCATACCAGGCTCAGCATTGGATTTTTTTTAAAACCTCCCTGAGTATTTGTGAGGTGTGACCACGTTTCAGATCCAACCTCCTCATTTTTTAGAGATGAGGAATGCAATCCTGGGGATTTAAAAGGAATTTCCTCCATTAACATAGAGCTGGGCAGGGACAGATCCAGAGACCAAGCAGGTCTCCCTGGCCACTGTCCCTTGCTATGCCACCTCCACCCTGCAGGCCAGCAGCAGGTAGAAAAACAACTATCAAGAAGATAGGGTGAAATCTGGAATTTTCCTCCAAAGAGCTTTAAAGTCCCCGAGACCTGAGAGCATCTGAGGGAGGGAGCATGGAGCCAATTATGGCTCTATTTTTTCTGATCTGGAAAACTAAAAACCTGCAAGTTCAAGTGCTAGGAAGCAGGTTAGTCCCGTGTGAATAACTCTGGCTATAGACTAGACAGGCTTGGGATTCCATGCCGGCTCTGTACTCACTAGCTGTGTGTTCTCAGACATGCTGCAGTCTGGCTGGGCACAAAATCACGAGCCACTCAAGCAGGAACAAACTTTATTTCCAAAACTCCCGCGAATGCCACGCATGCGGCCTTCTCCCGGGACACACTACACCAACAGGAAATCCCTCCTCCGGAATTCCCTCCTACCGCACTTCCCCAACCAATGGGAACTCTCCGGGAGTCCCGAAAGAGCCCCAAAGTAGCAGGCCGAGGTGGACAGCAAGGGTCTAATCTCCAATTGAATGCACATCTTAACATAATCATTATCATCTCAATGGCTTGCTGGCATCACCTTTCAACCAAAAATGCCATGCATCATTCCTACTTGGCTATGGCTCTCAGCATCTCCCCCCTTCTGTTTAATTGAACAACAAGGAATGTGGCTTAGGGACCCTGCCTGTTAGGCTGTCCAATACAACATATGGTTCTTACCCGTCATTGGATGAGCTGACCTCTAGGTGTCAGCCTCCTGTCTTAGGTTGGTACTACTGCAATTGGATCATACCCATCACTGACTACCGGTCCAGCATACAGCCATACTTGTGGATAGGCCTTTGCACCAGTGTGTGGGGGGGTGAGGTTCTTTGCCTCACCTCTGTTGGCCCCCAAATTTTAGACCATCACTAGTAGAAGGGAGGAGGATACAGAAATGCCATGACACCAAGCCAATTGATGGCTCCTTTGGAAAAATTGTATCACTGGTGCCACCATCAGCAAAGATACACCAGCACTACCACAATTCGCTGCACCAACAGATAGTTCACAATGCATACAAGTGATACATAGTCCAGGCAAGTTCTGCAAGCAGTTCAAAGCAGAGGAATCCATCAATATGTCCATTTCCTCCCAAAGTAAATCGACTCCTTGACTGAGCATTACTTGTTGAGTTATTATTCATTGATGCATCAGTTTATACAGTTTACTGTGATAGCTATTGAAGAAGCTGTAGTTTGGTTTTATCTTTGTCTTCACCGGCACTGGGATGAAGATAGGAATTCTGGCAATGACGGCTAAAAAAAAAAAAATATGTAACATTCCAACTGGTACTAAGAAAACAATTTTCTGAACAATTTACATTATCCTGAACAGAATTATTAAATATAATGAAAAGGAAAGGTGAAAGTAAACAAACAGATCTGTTAACCTCCTTATTTGTACACATATTAAAACAATCCTCAACAGCTGTTTACCCAATTTAAATTAAACCATTAAAATCACATGAATAAAAAAAATTCGGATCCATTTTTTCATGAGCGCTCCTCATATATGATATATGGACATACGCACACGCAGACATACAACACAAAACACAAGTGTGCACACAAATGTACAACACATAAGACAATAGTAAAGGCCTTGTAGCTTTACACAGGTGAAATCTCCATTGCAATGTTTAAAAACTCCACAGTCAAAAAATAAAACTGATCAGAAAAACATTAACCTAGGTCTGTATGAGCTCAAAAAATAAAATAGAACTTTATGATGTGGGAAAAGGCAATAATAAAATAGATACTGAAAAAAGCATCCTGGTTAATCACTGTCGCAGATGTAAGAATAGCCAAGCTGGAGCTCTGGATATCAGCTGTTATGGATTTGAGTCAAATCATCTTCTTTTTGGTCTGTAGAAATCGCTTTGGTTAGTCTCTCTGGAATCCAAATCGGCTGCTGTTCTCCCTGTGGAAACACACAAACAGAACCCTGACTCCAGACAATTACTGGGTCAGGACCTTTCCATTGTCCTGTTAGAATATCCTTCCAAAGTACCTCAGGCTTATGTACATTTTTTGGATACATATGCCTTTCCGCAGCACTAGGCCCTGATGAATCCAAATTTAAAAAGTTTAGAGTAAAAAGGGTTATTTTAAGTTTATCTTTGGGGGATATATACCCCTTTCCAATTCCCACTTTTTGCTTTAATAAGTACATTTTTAATAGTTTGATGAGCTCTTTCAACTATGCCTTGTCCCTGTGGATTGTATGGGATTCCTGTTATGTGAGTAATGCCAAATGATGAGCAAAATTGTTTAAAAGAGGTAGAAGTATAACCAGGGGCATTATCTGTTTTTAAATGTTTTGGAACGCCCACAGTGGCAAAATTTTGTAAGCAATGAGCTATAATATCTTTAGTTTTTTCTCCGGCATGAAGGGAGCCCATCAAAAATCCGGAAGAAGTATCAACTGTAACATGCAAATATTTTAATTTTCCAAATTTTGGCAAGTGTGTGACGCCCATCTGCCAAATATGGTTAGATATCAGTCCTCTAGGATTGACTCCAAGATTAACTTGTGGTAAAAAGGTCACACAATTTTGACATTGTTTTATTATATGTCTGGCTTGTTCCTGAGTTATTTTAAAATGCTTTTATAAAGTATTAGCATTGACATGGAATCTTTTATGAAAATTTGTAGCTTCTTCTAGTGTAGAAAAAATATGTATGTCATGTGTAGTTTTATCTGCTAAATCATTGCCCAAACTAAGGGCTCCAGGCAATCCTGTATGTGCCCTGATATGTCCTATAAAGAATGGATCTTTTCTGTCCCAGACTAGACTTTGTATAGTGGAAAACAAAGAGAAAACAGTAGAGGAAGGGGAAATCCTACCAGCATCTTCAAGGGATACTATAGCATTAACTATATACTGACTATCAGAAAATAAATTAAATACAGAATCTTTAAACATCACAAAAGCTTGTAAAACTGCATTAAGCTCTACCTTTTGAGCTGATTGTTTGGGTACTAAAATGTAAAAGTTTGATCAGGGGTAACTACTGCTGCTGTACCATTATTTGACCCATCAGTGAATATATTTGGAGCTTTCATGATAGGTGTTTTTCTTGTCATTTTTGGAAAAACTACAGGATGCGAGGACCAAAAAGACAACAAAGGATTAGATGGTAAGTGATTATCAAATGAAACATTAGATTTACACATGATTATTGCCCAAGTATTTAACTCATTAGCTAACTCATCTATTTGATCCATAGTATATGCAGTAATAATTTTATTGGGATAAATTCCAAATACTCCCTTTGCTGCTTTTATTCCTTTGAGTATTAATTGTCCTACAGCCTCAGGATACCTAGTAAGAATAGTGTTAGGAGAATAAGATAAATTTATCCACAATAATGGACCTTCTTGCCAAAATACTCTTGTAGGAATATTTTTTGTTGGTAGTACAATAAATAATAAAGGCAAACTTATATCAATTCTATCCAAATGCATATTTTCCATATATGTTTCAATAATTTTTAATGCTTTTCTTGCTTCAGACGTTAACATGCGGGTGAATTTGGATCTGATGGACCTTTTAGGATATCAAATAAAGGTCCCAACTCTCCTGTTGGTATACCTAGATAAGGCCTTATCCAATTTATGTCTCCCAATAACTTTTGAAAGTCGTTAAGTGATTTGAGTTGATCTACTCATATTTGAATTCATTTTGTATCCTCCCCTTCTGCTTGTAGCAGATTATTTATGGTGTTTATGTAAAAACCACTATGGTCGTTATTTAAATTAAACAAAAGGGGGAAATGTTAGGGTCTGTAAACAAGTCAAGATGGCGCCTGGCATTTTGCCAGAGGGAGTGGTTTGTGAAGTAACGCCAGCGAGCCATTAAGTGTGGAGATTCCTTACTGGTTGACTGCTGTATCTAGTTTATGTTAATTAAGATAAGCTGTGTGGAATGTATATATACTCCTCCTGTCCTACAATAAATGACTCCCACTCCTGCTGTATCAATCTACATAAGTTGCTCGTCACCTCCGGATTATTTTGCTGCACCCGGACTGCGGCAAGACAAATTACTGAACCTCTCTGAGCTTTGTGCTCCTTGCTTTTTAAGTGGAAATGATAAAAGTACTGATTCCTTACACTGCTGTGAGCATTGCCCTTATGCATATTCAGTAAATAAAACCTATTATGATCATAGGCACCTGAATCACTTTGTCACTTCCTTTATAGCCATGAAGAACCACACATTATTTACAGATGAGAAAGTAGTGACTCAGAGAAGCCAAACCGCTTATCCAACATCACATAGCACTTTAGAAGTGGGTCTGGGACTAGAACACAGACCTGAGACTCTCACTCAGCCCGTGGGCTTTCCACGGATGCTATTTCCCTGGGGCCCCAGATCTTCGGATTCCCCCACCTTACCCCCAGGTCTTGTTGGCTCTAATGTGTTGCTTTTTATGAGACTGGACAATCAACTTCTTGTTAGAATTCCTATGGGTGGACGCATGAGAGGGAATAAGGAACCCACTCTCCCTGCAGCCTCCACCGCCAGCTCAGCCTCTGGAAGAAAAGTAATTCGGGTCATGAATCCTGCGATGCAACCTGCATTCACTGTGGCTTGGCCCTGTGGGCCCTCTCCACAGGCCCACAGGACACAGAATAACTGATTTGCAGATGAGCACGATACGCTTAGCTGCGGATATTCTGTCTGTTGAGAGGCCATCTATCACGTTTATGGGGGAGATAATCACTTATGATCACCAGGAGCAGCAGCCAGAGGCACAGCAGGAAGTATCCCCACCCAAGGCCTTGGGACAGCCCCCCCCCCCAACACACCGGTCCTCCAGATCAGCCAGAAACAGAGCAGAGGCCTCTGGGCGGATGCAGAAGAGCTCTCACACTCCCCATGGGTCCTCCTTCTGACAAGATCTGCTCATGCCAGAGTCATTTCTTCCAACAAGAAACCACCGAAAGGAGATGGGAGGAAATCGATCAAGGCAGCAGCACTCAAGGGTAGCCACAGTGTGCCCAGCACAGAAAGGACTTTCAGGGGCACAGAGGAGAGGCGTAACTGAGAAAACGATGTGACTCCATTTTTTAAAAAAATAAATAAATTACAGCAGCAGCTTCTACCTCAAGTCCTGTCCAGAGGGAGGGGGCATGACCCTTGTCCTTGGAAAAACCCACAGAGCACTCCTAAGCACATATCCACCCTGCTGTGTTGTTTGTCTGCAAATAACTGGAGAGATCTGCAGCGCCAGGTGTCCATGACTCAGTCAGGCCAGGAGAGGATCCATAGCAACACCTAGCAACCTCCAATCAGCATGAGACAGGGAAAATACCTGGAATGCCAGATGACCCCCCAGTAGTTTATGGTGGTTGATAATAATTTGGGAAACCATGTAGTTTAGCACGTACACTCCTCGTGGCCTAAACCAATCAGTTCAAACGAACCCCCCTCTTGTACTAACCAATCACCCCTACCCAACTTGTTCCCGCCAATGAATGTGCTAATCAATGTTAAGAGTTGTTGTTTGATTTTCCCGCGGTATGGAATGATTTGCTGTGTGATATTGTGACGCATAGAGTATCCCCCCAAAACCTATAAAATCTCCCTGAACAAAGGACCAGGACTCAGTCCCTGGGACCGCTGCGTTGGAAACAGTTGTGAGTCCAGGCTGGAGCTCTTGTGTGATTGCATCGGATTCAGCTCCTGGAGGTCTACTGGGGTCCCACGAATCTGGCATTACATAACCTCTACTCCTCTAATGCATGAAGTCCTGGCTCAACAGGAGTTGCTGTGTAACCTGGACCACACCTCTTGCCCTCTCTGGGCCCCAGCAACCTCCTTTATATAGTCATCAGAGATATTCCATGACTCTGGGGACAAAGAGCAGTGGGGGTGGGAGCAGCTCATGGTAGGACTGGAGGCTGCCTGGGTTTGGGGCCCTGGACTTCAATGCAATGACAGCCTGGGAGATGGCCTCCACTCAGCCCCCATAGCATTTAAGGACAAGAAGACCAGGTCTCCATGGGAAGTGAAGTGTTCCTTCAGAGACTGGAATTATTTTGATCCAGCTGAGCGGGAAACCACTGAAAACTCTGGGTGCCAGTGTGGGGGCCATTTAGATTTTACTCCTCTGGGATTGGGGGTCTCTAGAGCAGAGAAATAATCCACCCTGTGGGGTAGGCAGGGAAACCAGGGAAAGGGCTCGGGACTCAGTGCTTCCCAAAGGCAAGGGTGGGGGGCTGTGGGCCTCACAGAGCCCCTCCATTCTGCCCTGTGAGTCCCTATTAAATTTGAAAACTGGAGCTACCTAAAGACTCTTTTGATTCCAAGATTTTTTTTTTTTTTTTGAGACTTGAAGGCAGGATGGAGCGTGGAGCTGTGCCCGAGGCCAGAGGCAGCTCTGTCTGCCAAGCTGGAACCTCTGCTTCTCGTTAATTAGAGGAGCCAAGAAATCACCCTCCAAAAACTGCCTTTCAACCGGAAATGCCAACTGCTCAGCCTTTTGTGAGACCCATGCTGCCGGCCACCGCTGGAGCCCAGGCCCCAATGGCACAGCGCCCCGGCCACACCAGGGAATAGCCACTCAGCGCCATCGCTGCCTGGTAATGGCCGGTGGAGAGGCTCCCACTCCCGGCGACATCTTTATCTGCGTGTTCCAGGAGCCATCCCCCAGCCCGGCTGGCCGAGCCTCCTTCCAGCTTCCAGCAGCCGCATCTGTGTCTTTGTCTGGCTCCCACGACGCTCCTGGCTGGCTGTGCTCCTGGCCGCAGAGCAGAGGAACAGCTTGGGGAGCAGTGGTGGCAGGCAGTGACATCTCCGGTGCTGGACTCCCAAGCACGGTGGCCTCTTTTCCTGCTTAGCTACCCTTGGGTGGTCTGGAAGTGGAAGGCAGTGCAGGGTGGCCCCCAAGGACACTTGTGATCCCGTGTACTCAGGGCCCATGAAGGGAGAAGGAAGGTGTGGCATAATAAACACACAGGACACTCACACATGTAGAATTGGCCTCTGCCCCAGTTCTTGGCTCAGAACTCCTAAAACCCCCTTGTGACATACTGAGGGACAGGGTGGCCACAGTTGCATCCTTCACCCTACCACTTGGTCTTTGACCCCAGGTGCTAACAGAGCTCCTAAATCCCTGGAATTTCCTGTGTGGCAAGAGCATCAATTTTTTCTGATAAAGTGACTCCTGTGGGTTCCTGGTGACCAAAATGGCCAGGCTGAGATTACAAGTTGGAACGTCCCATCTCCCCATCTTCCAGGGAGGGAGAAGGACTGGAGGTGGAGCTGGTAGCCAAAATTGTGCCAATGTGATGAAGTCTCCACAGAAATCTCTGAAAGACGAGGATGGGGGCTTTGGGTGGGTGAACACATCCACCTGCTGGGGATGACCCACCCCAGCTCCACAGGGACTGGAAGCTTCTGTACTCAGGGCCCTTCTAGACCCTGCTCTATGCACTTCTTCATCTTGCTCTCCATCTGTATCCTTTATCACATCCTTTATAACCAACCAGTAAACCACGGTGTTTCCTCTCAGTGCCGTGAGCTAGCGTAGCCAGTTATGGAACCTGAGAGAAACCTCAGGGGGACCCCTGATTTGTAGCCAATCAGACAGAATCATAGGTAACCTGGGGACCCACTACTTGCGATTAGCTTCTGAGATGGGGTTGGTCTTGTGGGACTGAGCCCTTACCCCGCAGGGTCAGCACTAACTCCAGGTACTTAGAGTCATAACTGAATGTAGAGCTCACACCAGTGTCCAGAGGGTTGAGAAATGATCCATGTGGGAAAAAATCCCCACGCAGCTGTGTCAGGAGTGTTGGGTGCATGTTTACTTGTTTGGAAAGGCAACCAATCCTAAAGCAGATTCCCAGAGGTGACAGAGCTCCTCGCCATGGAAGGAAATAGGGTAGTCTTACCTGGAGGAAGGAAGAAGGAGGCCAGCAATTTCCCGTGAGAACTAATAGCAGTAGAAGAGGTGCTGAATCCAGGAGGCAAGGCTGAACCTCTGGGCAGGAACAAGAGGAGACACATTTTCCTTCAATAAGGGAAAGAAATGCTCCACACAGTGAGCCAGCTGCCTCTAAGGAGAGCTTCTTCCCCATTGGAGGTCCTGGAGGGGACACCAGGTGTCCATGGTGAAGGGGGCGGGAGGTTGTAAGACTCAGCCTTCTCATCTTTAAAATGACAGTTCTCACGGGGTGCTGTGGCCCACCCCTGTCATCCCAGTGGCTCAGGAGGCTGAGGCAGGAGGATCAAAAGCTCAAAGCCAGCCTCAGCAATTTTGCAAGACTCTAAGCAACTTAGTGAAACTGTGTCTCAAAATAATGTGGGGAATGTGGTTCAGTTATTAGGCGCTCCTGGATTCAATCCCCAGTACCAATAAATAAGTAAATAAATAAAATAAAAAACGACACATCTCAGGGAAGACCATCTCTCAGTTGTCACGTATCTGAAGTGCGGCAGTATGACCTAGCTCCAACCCTTGCCCTTTCAAAATTTAGGGTCAAGGTTATGCTAGCAAGGAGGCTCTGAGTCTCAAATGTAAAACTGACAAGGATTTTTGGCAGAAATAAACCCTTGCCATTTGTGACCTATCCAGTTGATTTTAGGAACTTAAATATTTAAGAGGCAAGGACAATTGCAAATAAGAGCAGAGAATCGTCACCACCACAAGTGTCCTTCACCAGGTGCAAGAATGGACGGCATGCCTGGCCCCAGTCTGGACCCAAAGTGGTTAAAGCTCACAAGAGAGCAGAAGAAAACTTTAAACTCCTCAAATTCTAGTGGAGTCTGAGGAAGAGGAAGAGCAGGAGGAAAGGAATCTTGGAGAAAGAGCAAAGCGAGGATTTGAACAGGTTCCCCAGGGTTCCTGTGTTGGCAGCATGATCCCCACTGCAAGGGCATTTGGAAGTGGGGCCTTGAAGCGGCAATCCAGTCTTGAGGGCTCTGTCTTCCTCAGTGCATTGATGCTGTTATAGAGGAAGCAGGTTAGTTATCATGGGATGGAGTTCTGGATAAAGAGATGCCCGCAGCCCCCTTTCACACCCCTTCATGTGCTCTCTTGCCCTTCTGCATTCCTGCATGGAGTGACAAAGCAAGAAGGCCCTTGTCAAATGCCATCCCTGGACCTTGGACTTCCCAGCCTCCAGAATTGCAAAACATAAATCTCTATTCTTTATAGATTACTCCGTCTCAGGAGTCCTATTATAGAAACACAAAACAGACTAAGACAAGGAAAGAGTTAAAAGGGCAGAAAAATAATTGGGTGGGAAGGAAAGAAATAGCTAGAAGATTGGAGAGGGCCCCTCATGCTGGTCTAGGGGATGTGCTTCCAGGCCATCCCAAAGGACTGAGCCAAGAGGGCCATACTCTTGAGTGGTTACAGAACAGAGGTTGCTAAACTGGGACTGGGTGTGGGTGAGTATCTAAACGTCTGCGTTTTCTTCTATCCCCACCTCCAGGGCCTTAAGATGTCCTGAGCACCTATGGTCTCTCCTGCACGCATGGCTTTGTTCACTTTGGGGGACAGTGGAGGTTGGTTGGCGGTTGCAGGTGTAGAATAAAGCCCAACCCCCAGCGCCAGTCACCCCAGACATGAGAATCATCTTTAGTGCAGGTGATGAGTCCAAAAATAATTAGGTAGAGCCCTTTGGGCTCTCTCTTCCTAGTCTTAGCTTCACACTCCGGGGTGAAAAGATAACAGTCCTGTTTCAGGGTTATATAAAAAAGGGAGCATGTCTGAATCACATCTAGGGGCCCACAGAGAAAGAAGAAGAGCACTCTGCAGAGCCATTCTGATGTCTAGGACATGGTCACAGAGATCAGATTAGCGTCTCGGAGCCAAAGAGACCTGGTGTGGGCAGTTGGGATCTTGGTTCTGAACTCTACTCCTCTTCTGACATGATATTTTCAAGCAGAGATGTTTTCGGCCACTGAGTTCTGCTAGCATAGAATTCCATAAACCAGGGGGCTTAACCAACATTTGTATTTCATGTTTCTGGAACCTGGGAAGTTTATGGTCAAGGTGCTGGCTGATTCAATTCCTGGTCAGAGCTTATTTCTGGTTTTCAGATACCACCTTCTTGCTATATCCTCATGTGGTAGAGAGTGAGATAATTTCTCTTGCATATAAGGGCACTAATTCCATCATGACCCACTCACCTTCCCAAGATCCCATCTCGAAATATCATCACATCAGGGGTTAAGGCTTCAACACATGAATTAGGCAGGAGAGATACAAACTCTACCCAGGTCAGATGGCTTTTAGAAAAAAGAATTGTTCAAGATTTCTGGGGAAAATGCAAGTAAAATTTCTTACCCGCTGGCAGAAAGGGGTGAAAAGACCCATAAGTGGGAGATGAGACTGGAAAAATTTGTGGAGGGCTTGTCCTGAGTCTTGGCATGACTTAGCCAAGAGTTTGCTAGAAAAACTGACACTGTTAACAAATAACCTCAGGCTCCATGAACCGCCAGAGGGCCTTCCGGAATCTTCATGATTAGTTTGGGTAGAAGCGGAAAAAGTAGAAGCTATACAAATTTTCAAGAAAGAGAAAGCTGTTTCAAACTTAGGTCTTAGAGACACAAAGGGAAGGGGTCCCAAAGAGAGAGAGGTTAGCACCTGCCCCAAACAGGATGGGATGGGAGAGCTTCAAACCCCTCCTCCTGGGACATGGAGTCCTGGGCCCAACTCACTACTCTAGCTTCCCATTTTTAATTACTACAATATGGACAGGATGGTATCAAAACTGTGCTGCATGCATCCTATGAAATATTCTTTGACCAGAAAAAGTCAAGAGCCCCAAGACTGGATACCGATGGCTTTATAAGAAGGAAAGAGACCTCGCCCACATGCACACTGACCCTCCATCTCTCACCATGGACAGCTGCCTCAGCACTCTGCCAGCAAGAAGCTCATGGCCGATGTGGCCCTTCTACGGAGGAGATGTGGGCTGTGAGGAGGGGAAGACCCTGGAGCACTCTAGAAGCCAACAATTTAGGAACCATATTAAAGAACACTCTACTAATGGCATTAGATGGGGATCCTTGGTGGGAGGAAAGGGCAGAGAAATGGTAGGAGGTGACATTGGAAAATCCAGGTGATGCCAGACTGTGGAGGGCCCTACACACCACGAGGCTAAGGGCTGTGGACTTTTCCTGCAGTGGAAGCAGTGGGAAGACTTTGAGGCCAGGAAGGAGACAGGTGGGGTGGAGCCCTGGCAGCACCTCTGCCTCCCAGTGGCCTCCCTTCCACTCTGCTCCCAGCCAGGCTTCCAGAGTAGCATCTGGCACTGAGAGGGGAGAAGAAATAATTTCCAGAAGGAACCAATGGACGGAACAATATGGGAACCCAAAGGGAGGGGATGTTCAAATGGATGTTAAAAACAACATGATATTTACAACCCCCAATTAAAAATTCAACCATGAAGAAGGAATTATTGCCCTTGTAGGCAGAAAAACCTCTCTGAAAGATTTATTTTGCTACATCACTTATGACAAATGACATGACTATATATGAAAGATGATCATAAAATTGGCTTTTTTGAAAAAATGGGTCTAGTCAACTCAATAACCATTTGGTTTCGCTGGGGTCTGTAGGGGTTTTGTGAGATTTTGGTAATAGACTCTGCATTCTGCTGTGCATGAACAGGAGAGGACAGCTACCTGCATTGGGCACTTCCTGGGGACAGGGAGATAGAAAGATACTCCTAGGAAAGATGGTAGAGAAACAAAACATCTCAAGTGAAACCTCTAAGTCGTTTGCTGGGGTGAGATCCCTTATGTCTGTCTCCTTCAGTTGACCTATGAACTCTCTGCTCACTAGTGTTATTGTGGGAGGGAATTTTTTGAGTTTTGCTCCTGAGTTGGTCCAGGATAGAAATAGAGGATGTTCCCACAGTGCTGAGGCCAGAGGACATGGGTCGGTTGATGTCCAGCACCAGTGGATGTCCAGAAGCAGTGGAGGCTGAACAGGGGCCTGAAGGGCCATACAAACAGGACTGGAGGGAGAAGCAGGGTGACCAATAGGACATCAGTGTCCCAGGGACAGTCAGTAGAATCCAACAGCATGCTGCTCTGGGACCAACCGAAGCCAGCACCTGCTTACATCCCTGTTTTCTCTATTTGTTTGAGAAGCTTTGATTCACATAACTCAGAGGGCCAGCAGGGGCACAGAGAGGGTGGGGGACCCCCACAACAAAAACTCAGAGCAAGTTTATCCTTGGGAAGAAATAAATAATGATAGGGCTTTCACACTAAGCCCTGTGCTGGAAATCCAACTGTTCACCCTGTATGTGAAGCATAGGCTCACTAAAAAAACTATATATAAAAGCAATTGAAATCCTCCCAGAAAGAAGTCTTCCCCTGCCTGTACCCAGCCCCTGCTTCACCCTACGACTCTCCCGAGTTTGATGCAACTAGCAATAGAAACGGAAGACTGTAATTAAAGTGAGCCTGGCTGATGCTGCTGTTCAAATTAAACTAAAAAAAAAAAAAAAAAAAACCCACAACATTTTCAATAACGATAGGCTAAACCCAGCACGCTTTAGTCATTTCTGTAGCACTTTTCTTCCAGAAGGATTAACAAATGTGAAGTATAGGGCCTAGAAATTTTGATCAAGCAAAGTATCTTAAAGGGTTTTATTCTCTCCCTCTTTGATTAAAATTGCATGACTGTGATTCAATTCTATATGTAATGTAGATACACATATGCATGCTGTGTTACCTCTACCCAGTGAGGACAATAGGACCCTCTGTAGGATTCAGTCTCTCTTTTAGGATCAGTCGGGGGAAAGCCACACATACAAAATGTGTCTGATGACGGCCCCAGATTTAATAATAAAAATAAGCAAGCGCTTGTTTCCATTGCCAGGGTGGTGGTTTTGAACTTGGAAACACAAGAAAAACACGCTGATTAGCTCAAGGAAGCAGAGCTAGATTTGGGAACACAACTTAGGGGAAACCAGAGAAGAAAACCAGACTGCCTTGGCCAAGCCCGAGGAGGAGGCCTCTCGCCACATGGCTGAATGTGAAAGGATGGAATCCCAAGCTTGGGAAGAAACCCGTGGCAGGACAGCTGGTGTCTACAGCCTGGGCTCTTTGTTACCAGCCCTGATCACTTCAGGTGCAGTCACTAGAAAGGAATGGAAGAGAAAAGGAGGGGAGAAGAGGATTAGAGAGCAAAGGGAGGGAGGGCCCGGGGAGAGAGAGGGAGAGAAAGAAAGGGAAACGGAAGAAAGAAAAGTGGAAACCAACTCAAAACAGCTTAAAGAAAATAGTGGCAGCCATGGTCAAGAGAGGGGCTGGGAGATCCACAGAAATCCCTGCGGATGGGCCTCATGAACATT